AGATGATTTTGTTCATTCATGAAGTGAGTATCAGAGGGGATATAGTACCTATTTGAAAAACCATGATCTACCAGAATATTCCCTGCCTCCTTCTTATCCCACTTTCTGCAGGAAACTATCTACTTCTCCTCCTGCTTTCTTTTGACCTTTCAAACTTTGCACTGGGTTCCATATCCCCATTATTTTTATCTTCTAAGAATCTATTGTTGTCCTGATTAATGCGGGTGGGAGAGGAAAGGCAGGAAAATGTGATGTGGGATCAGTGGTGGGTTCTTACCAGTTTGGACCGGTTCGGTTGAACCGGTAATGCTTTGGCAGCCTGGGTCTCTGGAACCGGCAGCGACCCAGTCCTGCCATGCCCTCGGTCTGCACCATCAGCAGTGCCATCTTATTTTTCAATTCTACACATGCTCAGAACAATTTTAATTGCACTGTGCATGCACGCGCAGCACACATCAAGCGTACACACAAGCGAACCGGCATTAGTGCCGGCCAGAACCCACCCCTGTGTGGTTTCAATGTGTAATTTATTCCTCAGCACAGTAAAATCATAGGATTAAAATCAAGCATAAAGAAGATCAGATTCATAACAACAGGTAAAACAACTGGCCTGCGAATTGGCAACCAAGATATTGAAGCAGTGGGCAGTTTCTGCCTCTTGGACTCAACCGTCAGCATAGGAGGAACCAGCAGTCAAAAAATAGCCCTAGCACTTGGTGAAGCACCACTGAAAACCTGGGAAAATATATCCAAATGCCATGGTATATCCATATCTACAAAGATCAGGATTGTGTAACCCATGGAATTTCCCCATGACGCTCTATGCAAGTAAAAAAATAGATTCTAAAGAAATAGGACAAGAAGAGCACCTTGCAACACCTCTGAACTTTGGTGTTAGATAATGCTCCTGACTCCTGAGGGTATTCTGGAAGTTGGACTTCTGTTTTTAAAACGTTTCGCTGCTTATCCAAGTAGCTCCTTCAGTGGAAGTGGACTGAAGGGGCTGCTTGGATAAGCAGCAAAACGTTTCAAACCGAAAGAGAAAAGAAATCCAGTCGCCATGACTCAACTTCCAGACAACTGTAGGTAGATAACTAAGAATCTTCATTGACACTCATAGACAGCCAAGAAATCAAACCAATGGATCATGGATGAAATGAACACAGGGTTCTCATTTCAACAACCAGGCTCAAATTATCCTACGTTGGACACATTGATGTGAAGACCTTGGTAGGTGGAAAATGTTCTAGTGCTAGGAAAGATAGAAGGAATGAGAAGAAGAGGACAATCAGCAGCAAACTGGATGGACTCAGCTACAGTGATGGTGGGGCACCATTGGGGGTTCCACCACAAAACCGCGGACGACAAAATCACGCTTGACGAAAGCGCGCATTTGACGTCATCACAGCACGACGAAAACATCGTGCTGTGATCGATAAATGTAAAAATAAAGTGAAAACCTTACCCTAACCCCCCCAAACCTAACCCTAAACCTAACCCTTAACCTAAGTGCTTTAATTTTATTTTTATTT